TATTGTACTGCGTCCATTTTCTGAGGTACTGTAATTGCCATCGTTACAAGGTGTCACGGTTAAGGGTTATTGGTCATATAAGAGAAAGGCTTTGTCGGGAATTGCCTTTTCAACCAGAAGACCCAAACTACCCTCATTTGGGCCATTGTTGACCTGAGGGACGGTGTGGTCACTAAAGTGACTTTCATCACGCGATGGTCCAATTATCCGAGATTGTTGTAAGTTATTTAGTGGTTGTTCTGGCTTCACACAATACACTGCCATATGTCAGTGTTAAAGAGACCATCACTGGACATGGCGAGGTAGACTAGGGGGCACCTGCTTGTACACACGTGGACACAGGGAATGTTTGGTATGTCCATCTTCGGTATGCGGTCATTGCTTTTTAGGTCAATAGTGAGTGAGTGAGTTTTTACTTTTAGGCTTTTTTATTGCTTTTTTGCAATATTCCAGCAATATCAAGCTAGGGGACACCATAAATGGGCTTCACACATTGTATCCCTGTGAGGAATCGAACCCGGGTTTTCGGCGTGACGAGCAAATGCTTTAACCACTAGGCTATCCCACCGCACCATAGGTCAGTAGGGGTAGATGGGTAGGCAAGTGGTTTGTGCATTCGCTTGTAACACTTATGGCCTGGGTTTGATTCCAAAGACTTTCCTTTTAGATGACATGGCTTCAACATGCAATTAGGCTTAGTTTTATGCATGTTTCATGCTTGTTGGTACAGTACTCATTCACTCACTCACCCATTAATCATAAGGAGTAACCTTATATAAAGCTGAGTTGTATATATTTGATACCAGTACGCTACCATAGACAGTCCTTGACTGCCAAGGTTCAACAACAAAAAGAATATTTTACATCATTCTTATTGTTAATCAATATTAATGACATGCAATATTTGTACAAGCATCAAAAAACTCACCAACTCATTCATTCTTACTCAAAACACATAAATAACAAAATGATAGGGTTCATGCTAATTTAGCATAAAAGATATTTGCCCAATATTACGAGGATGTTGAGAACAAAGAGCTTGTATATGTCCATTCATCCACAAACCGTGAACAATCAAGCAGATCCTGATGTCTGGCCTAAAGTTGGCTTACAATTCCATCCATTCAAGAATGAATTCAGCCTCACAGAGATCTGAATTATAAGGAGGTCATGTTCTGCTTTCATCAGCTACAACCAATTTACTGCAATAACTTACAAACTGATGGCCATGTTATCCCATGATAACCATCCTATATCGATCCTGGCTTGTGGCAGCCGACTGAATGCCAGCAGTACAAGGTGAAGGTCACTTTGCTGTATTGAACATCATTAAATTGTAGCAAGCACTTAAGAGTGATTTCATATTTTTACAATTTGTGTCAAGTTTATGTGAATTGGGTATATTGTGTCAACTTGTGTCATAATAATAATAATAATAATAGTGCCTATTTATAGTGCGCACAAATCCACGCTCGTAAGCATACTCATGGGTCAGCATGGATATGTTGTGTCAGTTTGTGTTGTCATGGGTAGGTGGGGCTGTGGGGTAGCTTAATGGTTAAAGCGTTGGCTCGTCACGCCGAAGACCCGGGTTCGAATCCCCACATGGGCACAATGTGTGAAGCCCATTTCTGGTGTCCCCCGCCGTGATGTTGCTGGAATATTGCTAAAAGCGGCGTAAAACCAAACTCAGTCAGTCAGTCAGTCATGGGTAGGTCATCTTGAAAACCTCTGGGCTTTCATTCCAAATATATAGACAATGTTTGAAGCCATATGTTTAAGTTCATGATATCGATTTATCAGTTCAGTAACTCACTCACTCTCAAACCCATTCCCATATCCTCTCATTCATCCGTCCAGACTCACTCACTCCAGTATCAGTACACGAACCAAGAATGTTGTTATGTACGTGAGACAGACATGCAGTGATGATGCTCAGAGGGAAAGGAGGGTGTCATGCACTTGAAAGGTTAGTCGTCTGCGTGACGACCCGAACGCTTTAACCACCAGGCTACCCCACTGACCCCTGATTGAGCATTTGTGTTGTTGGTGATGACGCATTGATGATGATGATGATGATGATGATGATGATGATGATGATGATTGAGTTTTATTTAGGTAAGACCCAAACCCAATAAACTTTTAGGCGTAACATCAACAAGATTCTAAAAATGTTAAATTTTTGAAACTTTGACTGGTAAGACACTTACCAGGCACAATCCTTCTGACTGTTTTTCTATTGTTGGTATTTCTGGTGTCCCCTGCCGTGATGTTGCTGGAATATTGCTAAAAGCGGCGTAAAACCAAACTGAGTCAGTCAGTCTATTGTTGGTAATATACACCAACCACACAATACGCCCAGATGCATTACGCTGTGCCTGAGAGGAAGGCCATATTCAATAATGCTGTCATATTAAGTGAAGTGTTGTGTTAACTCATTTCCAAGCTGCTTGACACGTGATGTGGAATAGAGTTGCATTATGTCAAGTTACTTGTGTAGTGATTGGTCCTTCTTAAGGGACCACTTCCAGTTTCAATTATTGCGCTTGAAAATCAAGTGGTTCAAGTATGTGATAACCGTGGTTACCGTGCACAAGACTTCGGTTCTATTCTCCACATTGGTGGGTGTTGAGTCAGTAATTGGCCCTACTATAATGTTCCAATGCTTCTCAAAATGTATTCATCAAGGTCCTAGGAGAGGTTACTGCCATGTAGGGTGTATTCATCAAGGTCCTAGGAGAGGTTACCGCCATGTAGGGTGTATTCATCAAGGTCCTAGGAGAGGTTACCACCATGTAGGGTGTATTCATCAAGGTCCTAGGAGAGGTTACCGCCATGTAGGGTGTATTCATCAAGGTCCTAGGAGAGGTTACCACCATTTAGGGTGTATTCATCAAGGTCCTAGGAGAGGTTACCGCCATGTAGGGTGTATTCATCAAGGTCCTAGGAGAGGTTACCGCCATGTAGGGTGTATTCATCAAGGTCCTAGGAGAGGTTACCGCCATATAGGGTGTATTCATCAAGGTCCTAGGAGGGTTACCGCCATATAGGGTGTATTCATCAAGGTCCTAGGAGAGGTTACTGCCATGTAGGGTGTATTCATCAAGGTTCTAGGAGAGGTTACCACCATGTAGGGTGTATTCATCAAGGTCCTAGGAGAGGTTACCGCCATATAGGGTGTATTCATCAAGGTCCTAGGAGAGGTTACTGCCATGTAGGGTGTATTCATCAAGGTCCTAGGACAGGTTACCACCATGTAGGGTGTATTCATCAAGGTACTAGGAGAGGTTACTGCCATGTAGGGTGTATTCATCAAGGTACTAGGAGAGGTTACTGCCATGTAGGGTGTATTCATCAAGGTCCTAGGACAGGTTACTGCCATATAGGGTGTATTCATCAAGGTACTAGGAGAGGTTACCGCCATGTAGGGTGTATTCATGAAGGTCCTAGGAGAGGTTACTGCCATGTAGGGTGTATTCATCAAGGTACTAGGAGAGGTTACTGCCATGTAGGGTGTATTCATCAAGGTCCTAGGACAGGTTACCACCATGTAGGGTGTATTCATCAAGGTACTAGGAGAGGTTACTGCCATGTAGGGTGTATTCATCAAGGTCCTAGGACAGGTTACCACCATATAGGGTGTATTCATCAAGGTACTAGGAGAGGTTACCGCCATGTAGGGTGTATTCATGAAGGTCCTAGGAGAGGTTACTGCCATGTAGGGTGTATTCATCAAGGTACTAGGAGAGGTTACCGTCATGTAGGGTGTATTCATCAAGGTACTAGGAGAGGTTACCTCCATGTAGGGACCAAAAATGTGTCTTTCTGACCAGATTAATGTGATGCCCAGAAACTTGACATTGTTGATCATTTCGTCACCAGTTGGAGATTCTCCTCCTTGTTTCTACTTCTGTCCGCTCCGTAACATTGCCCATGGACTTCACCAACATTAAGCTGATATTCCATCAAGTAAATGAAAAGTGAAAAACAGTTCTAATTGTGGTGGTGGAGTAGCCTAGTGGTTATGTGCTGTCTAACGCCAATGACCCGGGTACAGTTCCCCACATGGATACAATATGTAAAGCCGTTTTCTAGTGTCTCCTGCCATGTGAATGCTGAAATATTGCTGAAAGAGACATTAGACCATACTCACTCACTCACTCACTGTTTTTATTGAGTAGCCTTGTGGTTAATGTACGTAGGGGGATCGATATCCAGAGGCGGGGTGCGCACCCTGTCTTTTGTCCTGAAAGTTTATTAAATAACCATAGAAACTCTCATGAAAATGAAGTGTGCACCTCCCCTTTTCAAAAGTGTGCACCCCCTCCCCTTCCCCCCCCCTTCTCAAATAGCTGTATCCGCCCCTGATGTGCTCTCTCAATGACAGGAGTTCGATTCCCCACATGGTTACAATATTTGATTTCCTTTCTGGTGTCTCCTACCATGATGGTGCTGAAATATTGCTGAAAGAGATATTAAACTATACTCACTCATTCATTATATCCATTAGATCCTTGTCAAAAGCTTAGAAGTATATATTTGATACCAGAATGCTAGCACAGACAGTCTGTGGTTGGCTGCCAAGCTTCAATAACAGAAAAATATTTTGAATCAATATCAACATGATCAATGGCATGCAGTTGTTAAAAGAAGAAACTAATAGATTAGGCCAGGCCAGAAACTTGACCACATGTTTGGCTACTTGTGAAAAGGCGTATATTGAATGACTATTTAACCTGTGGAAGAGGTATTGCTTCGGCATGCATTAGTCTACGGTACGCCAGGATGTTACAATGGCCTGACAACTAATCTTCATTCAGTTGTGTTTGTTAATCACGGGATTGGAGGAGGCAGTCATTAGAAGGGATGCACGGGATCTGATATCCTCCATATTGCTGGGCTCTTTTGTTGTGTAGTCACCAATGTAACAATAGCCTGACAACTAATATTCGTAGTGTTTGTTAATCGGGGATTGTACTGACGTGTGTCTCTGGTTTCAGGTTCTGTGTTGGGTGGGATATAGCGGCCACCGAACTCAGTCAATGTAGCCGAGGTGGATTGGATTACTTACTCGCGAGTTACACTGGATCGAGGGGTCATCTACAGGTGAATATTGCTACTGTCACATGACAGTCAAGTGACTTCATCATAACCACAATTGATATTTGTTGTGTACTTTTTTACAGTTCTGATCATTTTGCTGTTTTTATCATGTCTTGTTTCTTTGTGACATTGCATAACATGTTTATCAATGTAGGCTTTTGAAAGGAACACAAAGTACGTGATCTAGACTACCAATTGTCTGATTTTGTGGAAGCTGATCACTTACTTTGGTGAGTGGTTAGATAACTCACTCTGTATGCTAGTGATTAGATGCATCTCTCTGAGAGTCGGGGTTCAAATCCTGGATGGAACTCAACCCAGAAAGTTCCAAAATCTGTACTTAACTGAGAAATTTAACATTTGACCACTTTCGAAATGTCGCTGGTTATTCATAACATGTTTAGTGAATCCTCTTAATGTCATATGAGACAGGGGCGGTGGGGTAGCCTAGTGGTTAAAGCGTTGGCTCGTCACGCCGAAGACCCGGGTTCTATTCCCCACATGGGCACAGTGTGTGAAGCCCATTTCTGGTGTCCCTCGCCGTAATATTGCTGGAATATTGCTAAAAGCGGCGTAAAACTAAACTCAGTCAATCAGTCAGTCAGTCATATGAGACAACATCTGTGTATAAAGGATCAATCTATTGTCTTTAGGATGTGAATAGGAAAGTATTTAATCCAATACATCCTTCAGAAGTAAATCCAGAATGGATAGTCTGTAGTGGATGATGAAAGAAATGAATAGTTTTGTGGAAAATACTTAAACCTCAAAGTTTTGGTGTTACTGGAGAAAGTAATAGGTTGATGGTACCCAATATGAATAGTTAGTTGGATACCTCCCGGGAAGGAAATAGATTCTTTTTTTAAAATACCTATCATTACAAATCACACAGATGTTCTCCAACTGTATCTGTTTCCTCGTCAAGCACTGATTGTGTTGATATCCTGAGGGCATTCTCCTCACATTTATCTATGTGTTGATTTTAGCCAGTTTTGACAACTTCATGTGTTGAGGTAAGCTGACAAGATCTAGGATAAGTCTACAGTTCTACATCTTATTCACCTGAAATTATCACAACTTTGAAGAGATAATTCATTCATTCATTCATTCATTCATTCATTCATTCATTCATTCATTCATTCATTCATTCGACCGCCTCCGTGGTGTAGTGGTTAGAGCGTCCGACCAGAGTGCGGAAGGTTGCGGGTTCGATCCCCGACCGCATCATACCAAAAGACGTTAAAATATGGTACTTGTTGGCTGACTTGTCGGCTCGGAGTCAGTATACTGTGTCTGAGTGGGGTATTCATGCTTCACTGCGGCATGGTATCTCAGTGAGCTAGCACTATAAAACCAGCTAAAGTCTGGGCTAGTACAAGCAGCCGCACATACACATACACACGCATGCACGTCGTCATATGAGCGAAATATTCTCAAGCACGACGTTAAACCCAATTTCACCTCACCTCATTCATTCATTCATTCATTCATTCATTCATTCATTCATTCATTCATTCATTCATTCATTTGTGATAAATCCAGGTTAGAATTAGTCTTCAGCAAGTTGTGCTTGTTGTAAGAGGTGACTTACGGGATCGGTTGGTGAGGCACACTGACTTGGTAGATGCATGTCATTGTATCCCAATTGTGTAGATCGATGCTTATGATGTTGATCACTGCATTGTCTAGTCTAGACTTGATTATTTACATACCGCCACCATACAGCTGGAAAAGTGGCTTTAAACAACAAATAAAGAAATTCCAGTGATAGCTTTTAGCTGACTTTGGTGTTCAATCATGACAGCACTCTGTTATTTGCTCTACACCAGAAGGAAAAGTTCTCTGTTGTTTTCAAGTACTGTCACTGATAAAAAGGACTAACAAAATATAATCACTCCCTCACTCATATCATTAGAGTATCATCCCGGAGTGTTCCTGTGGCTTCTGTAAACATGTTGCAGAAGGATCCGTATGTGTGGTATCTCTTGCGTGTTTAGAAACAACGCTGACAAAACACTGAAAATATACCTTCAGACATATTTGAGTGGCATTTGGTTACCTCTGTGTGAACAATGCCATGAACCCTCACAGACTAAGCAGAAATGTTTTCAGCATTTTAGCAAAAATGCACCTGTGGAACGTTTATGAATAACATCCACTAAGTGTACAAATACTGCAAAGATATTTACAAATTTCAAAGAAATTCCTCAGGGTGTCTGCTCATTGACATAAGAGGAGTTGTGTTGAAAGTAGCAGCAGCCTGAACCATACTGCACCACAGGGCAGATGTGGTTTGCTTATTTGACTACCACCGTGCATGGTTCATGCTTGGAAGATGATGTTTTCCAACATATGCTGTATGTTGAATTAAAGACAGTGTGTGAAAGCAAAACATTGTTGTTTGAAGTTCAGCTGACAGCCCTCTGACTGTAACTCAGGTGTGAGCAGTCATGTGGAGAATAGTATCTGCAACCTGATTGCTCATTAGGGGTATTATCACATGTGGGACCCTCCGCAAGTGAAAGAAAAATACAGAGCAGGTGTGGGAAACTTCTTCCTGAAAAAACAAGCATTTTTATAGTTGTTTCTTTTCTTCAAGATGCCAATAAAAGTCAAATAAGATGGGGAAAAAAATTGAAAGCTAAAACATTTGATTGACTGACGGTTCAGGTGAAGTACTTTTGCAGTGTTTTTGTTGGGAAGGATTACACAGGCAGTGTTATTTTGGGGATGAAGAAGCAAAAAAAGATTATTTTTATCGGCATCACTAATATTATGTTTCTCCTATATTTCTTTTGACAGCTAAAAAATAATGTAAAAAGTATATCAAAAATTGACATTTTATACTTGTGTACATTTTATTAAGAATATAAAAGAAAATGAGGAAGAAAGTCCGGAGTTAAGAATCTGATTCAAGTGATAGAGTGAGGTTTTTTTTTTACACTGCTGTTAGCAATATTACGACGGTATGACAGCAGGGAACACCAGAAGTGGGCTTCACTCATATTTGGAATAGAACCTGGGTCTGGCTAATATTATCTATGTCAGGGTAGAGACTGCGATCTGGTAGAATGGGAGATTCTACCAGTAGAGATTGCGATCGGAGTCTCTACCAGTAGAGACTGCGATCGGAGTCTCTACTGGTAGAATCTCCGATCCTACTAGTAGAGATTGTAATCGTAGTCTCTACTGGTTGAATCGGAGATTCTACCAGTACATTTTCCAGTTCAACTGGTAGAAACTCCGATCCTACTAGTAGAGGCTGCAATCGTCTTCACCAGGTCATTACCCCATCTGCCATATCCCCACCTGGTCATTTCCCCACCTCTTTGGAAAGCAGTGTTTTTATAACAATTACCGTATATGACCGTCTATAAGACGACCCCATGGATAAGACGACCCCCAAACTTGACCCTTAAAATCAGTGTCAAAATGGTATGTTTCGTGCATAAGTCAATCCCCCGCGATGGGGTCCTAATCGCGGCAAACACAGACCACAGACAACTGGTAGTTACCAATAATTATAACTTTGGTCCACATTATTCAAAGAATTCAGTCATATATTGTGTCTACTCACGGATCGAAACGAAGTGTAGTTGACAGAAAATGCAAAATATATTTTGCTTCTCTAAATATCATATTTATTGTAATCTTGTCTAGTGATGTTTAATTGCAAATTTGACGTCTCTACTGACAAAGTCGTCTTCTGTTGTTTGTTCACGCGAAGTGATACGATGTTGTTTTCTTACCCCTTGAAAAAAGTTTGACGAAAGCGTAACCCATGGATTAGTCGACCCCGTTCTACAGACTGCTTTTTTTGGTCCTCAAAATTCGGCTTATAGACGGTCATATACGGTACTGATCATAAGGTTTGAAATACATGTGAATGGACTCCACTCAAAAAACAAACACAAAATACCTTACTCCAAAACAGACTTAACAAATAAAGTTAACAAGATAACAATAAATAAGTTCAATTATAACTGGCAAATAATAGGAAAACATTATCCCCACTTATTATACTTGCTTGCATAGGTTATTCCATATAATCGTAGTCTCTACCAGTAGAGACTACGATTGCAATCTCTACTAGTAGGATCGGAGATTCTACCAGTAGAGACTCCGATCGCAATCTCTACTGGTAGAGACTCCGATCGCAATCTCTACTGGTAGAATCTCCGATTCTACCAGATCGCAGTCTCTACCCTGACATATATATGGAACTTGATGGATGCATGGATTTTGCTTATATAACTGAAGCTAGGATCATTCATCTGGCTATTCTACAAATTGTACTCATGAAAACTGGTTTCAATATTCCGAATCAAAGTTTCATTTGTCCAATATAACATGGTGTAGTTCGATAAACACCACAGCCTCTTCGCCTGTGATATCAGTATTTGTTACTTTTCTCTCAGTTTAACAGAACAGTGAACTCTGGATACATTTTTAGATGGAAAAAATCATGGACCAGCAGTACTGTGCCAGTAGACAGGATGCAGCAGTGCCTGTCCAACTGTCTGCATCCTGGCCGTGGTGTGTGGACTATGTGATACGGATGTTGTATACAATAGCGATACATGCAATTTCCTGGCCCAGGTGTGAACTGTGTAATACGGATATGATATATGTAGGTTATACATGGATTGATTACCATAGTCATCATAATAATCATCCATGGTGCTCATGAAACCATCAAGGCTCATGTAAAGACTGGACGCTTGTTACATAACATTTAGACCAGGGAATAAAGTTATCCTATCATATAGACTTGGACAAAATGATTTCTGTTGCCCATATTTTTATACATTCCATACTCACTCACTCACTCACGCACTCACTCATCCTTTGGTCAAGACACTGCAATTCACTGTGTAGAGTTGTCTCCCTTGAGCATGCCAGGAACATGGGATTTTGGGTTCAAATCCCAACTCGTCCAGATTGTTTCTTGATTTTGTCAGCAGTATACCATGGATTTCACCAAGCTTCTGAGACCTGTAATG